GGGCCGCGAAGTGGGGCGGCGGGGCCGCAGCAGACGGGCGGCGGGGCCGCTGAAGAAGGGCGGCGGGGCCGCGAAGTGGGGCGGCGGGGCCACAGCAGACGGGCGGCGGGGCCGCTGAAGCAGGGCGGCGGGGCTGCGAAGTGGGGCTGCGGGGCCGCGAAGTGGGGCGGCGGGGCCGCTGAACAGGGCGGCGGGGCCGCGACGTAGAGCGGCGGGGCCGCGAAGTAGGGCGGCGGGGCCGCAGGAGTAGGGCGGCGAGGCCGCAGTTAGGGCGGCGGGGTCGCGACGTAGGGCGGCGGGGCCGCGAATGCGGGTGGCGTGGCCACGCTAGTAGGTGGCGGGGCCGCACGAACGGGCGACGGGGCCGCTAAGGTAGGGAGGGCCGCTAGGGCATAGGGGCCGCTAGGGCGGCTCGACGAGGTGAGAGCGCGACTCGGGCGGAGCGCGCTTCGGGCAGGAAAAAAAAATCGAAATTTGGTGGGCCCTAGGCACAGTTCCCACAGGGGAACCTGCTCGATACCATGAGAAAATGAGAACGAGGATGAATGAACTATGAAACAGTTGGGTACAAGTACTAACCCTAATTGGGTTGTACCCCATATGGGCTACCCCACTATAGCCTACACAAAAGCATAAGCTATAATGTTCTCACATAGGGCGGCGGGGCCGCAGGAGTAGGGCGGCGGGTCCGCAGGAGTAGGGCGGCAGGGGCCGGTGCAGAAGGGCGGCGAGGCCGCTGAGCAGGGCGGCGGGGCCGCGAGGTAGGGCGACGGGGCCGCGAGGTAGGGCGGCGGGGCCGCGTGGGCGGCAGGGCCGCGAGGTAGGGCGGCGGGGCCGAGAGGTAGGGCGGCGGGGCTGCGAGGTAGGGCGGCGGGGCCGCGAGGTAGGGCGGCGGGGCCGCGAGGTAGTGCGGCGGGGCCGCGAGGTAGGGCGACGGGGCCGCGAGGTAGGGCGGCGGGGCCGCGAGGTAGGGCGGCGGGGCCGCGAGGTAGGGCGGCGGGGCCGCGAGGTAGGGCGGCGGGGCCGCGAGGTAGGGCGGCGGGGCTGCGAGGTAGGGCGGCGGGGCCGCGAGGTAGGGCGGCGGGGCCGCGAGGTAGGGCGGCGGGGCCGCGACGACGGGCGACGGGACAGAAGCGACGGGCGGCGGGGCCGAGGCGACGTGCAGCGGGGCCGCTAGGGGAAAGGGCCGCTAGGGCGGCTCGACGAAGTGCGACTCGGGCGGAGCGCGCTTCGGGCAGGAAAAAAAAAGGTCGATGTGGTGGGCCCTAGGCACAGTTCCCACGGGGGAACCTGCTCGATACCATGAGAAGATGAGAACGAGAATGAATGATATATGAAACAGTTGGGTACAAGTACTAACCCTAATTGGGTTGTACCCCATATGGGCTACCCCACTACAGCCTACACAAAAGCATAAGCTATAATGTTCTGACATCATGCTCTGGTCGAAGTGTGCAGGTTGATTCGCGGGAGTCTCGGTAGATGTTGCTCTGGGTCTTGTTGCCGTGCCCTCCTCTGTTTGTAGGCCAGAGGTGGAGTAGGAGTAGTGCCCTGGGAGCCGTTGGAGTTGCTCCTTTCCTTTTGTGTAGCCATGCTGATTGATATTGTCGGTATAGAAGTTGAATTCCCCCTGATTGCTCTCATACCATGTTGGGCTGAAAAACCCTTAGGATCTTTGCAGGGGTCAACTCTGGGTAGAGTTGGTGTAGTAGCGGAAGCGTTAACTAAAGGGTTGTGAACCACCTTGCGCTAGTATGTGAGGGCAAAGTAAGTTGATTAAAGCAAAGAGATACAAGATTATACATGAATACAGGGAATATGAAAAGACACACTTTATAACTACTTTACTGTTGCTGTTGCGGTTCAATACAGTGACGACTCGGGCAATTGCTCTGTAACGAGTCAGTTGTGTGTCCTTGCTGTCGCGCTGTATTTGTCAGGTCGAAGGTTGCTGACCTTTGACTTTCGCGTAACCTCCGACAGTTACTTCAACCTCCGAGGGTTGACTCGCTGGTGCTTCGATAGTGTTTTGCTTCGCTTGTGTCTTTGGTGTTTCGACACGACAGAGGCGCTTAGGACCGATTGTTTCCAACAGGAGTTGTTGTAAATTCGGAAGCGTAAAATGATAAGTCTTGAACCACCTTGCGTTGGTATGTGAGGACAAAGTATATTGATTAATCAAAGAGATACATGGCTTTTTATAAGAGTACAAGGAATATGAAAAGATGTAACTTATAACTGTTTTACTGTTGCTGTCGCGGTTCGATACAGTGACGATTCGGGCATTTGCTCAATAGCGAGTCAGTTGTTTGTCCTTGCTGTCGCGCTGTACTTTGTCAGGTCAAAGGTCGCTGACCTTTGACTTTCGCGTAACCTCCAGCGGTTTCTTCACTTCTCAACCTCCAAGTGTTGACTCGCCGATGCTTCGCTGTGCTTCACCTAGTTTACGACTTAGTGTTTCGACACACAACAGAAGCGTTCAAATTACTTGTTTCCAACAGAGACTACCTCGGTGTCGCTTGCGGTTCTCTTCACATGCCCAACCTGCACCCAAGGTTCCTGTGTAGCTGTATTTATATTTATGTATTATATATATTTTTGTGCTGGCAGTTTATTTTGTCCCGGCTTCATTTTGTTGTCTCATTTGTCGTAACGACACCGATCTTGGGGGACCGTGTCCAGGATTCAGTTTTTTGAGAATTCAACCATTGGTTCGTCTATACATACCTTACGGAACATACTGCAGACAAGCTGACACCCCTCCCTCCCGCCATCTCTTCTGCCTTGAGTTCATCCGTCTTGGCGGTTGCAGTTGCGGTTGCGTGCGGGTTTCCCCATCATCTTGAATGGGCAGCTGATAATTTTACGCTTTTACGAAGTATCCACCTTGGCTGACTCACTGGTTGCCTCCCAGAGTGCACTGAAGTTGGCGGAACAATTGTCCACTGGTGACAAGTCCCAGTAAATGTCTGACACGTGGAGAATTATAGCCTCAATTGGTGAATGGCAGTTGCGGCTGTACCTAATCTCAGGGCTGTGAGGTAAAGCGTATCTGCCACCTACGATGAGACCACAAGTTTATTCCACATGGCAACTTCTGCTGCACCTACATCTGGACGCCACTGTGGACATTGCCACGCTGAGCGCCGAAAAGCGTAAAAGTGCGCCTAGGGTTTTGTGGCGGAAGGGATTTCACTGGTTTGTGCGCGGATGGCAGCTTTTCTCATAAAGTTTCGATCCACGTGAAAAGCTCTTCGTGGTTGAACCAAAAGAGCCCAGATCTGGATAAGGGCGATATTGTTGTCCCACCATCGCAACAGAAATCCAGCACTGCGCGTGCAGAGGCACTTTTTTCGTCAGCAACTGCTCTTTTTCAGGACTACCACGTCAGCCATATCCCTTTCTTGCGCACGCGTTTACGCTGAAAGACTTGTTTCTTCTCTGCCCCTCGTCTCACGTTGGCTCTACGAAGACAGCACCTCCTGGTTCCGCCAGCGCGGCAAGTTCGTGGTGCGGGTGAGCGGAGACCGTGAGTGAGAGTTGGCGGGGAGCAACGCGATGAATGGGTGCTTCAGAGAGCTCCCCCCAATCTTGGAGCACGATTCCCGCGCAAAAGTTCCTCCAGCGGAACTGCAGAAGTGTGCTTTTCCGCACAGTTCACCAACCCTTGTTATCCACTCTCCGCTGTTCGGGAAAAATGGCGATGCTTTTTCCCCAACCGCTACCCTAAGGCGGAACACTGACTCCCAGGGGGAATGAATGAAAAGGCTTGCGAATAGGCCGCGTTTAGAGCATGTAGCGCAGCTCCGTACGTTCTGAAATCGACATACACTGGGGTTACAATGTTCGTTAGCGTCGTGAGGTTTCTCGTTGCCGAGGAGAATGGGATTCTTCCTTTCCAAACTTGCGAACTTAACCGACTTCGTGTTGACTGAGTGTCGACCAGACGTTTCAACCCGAAAAAGCGACCACGCCCCAGGTGAATGGTGAGCCTTGAGGAGGTCCCGAGGCAGGCATCTCTGTGGCAGGGAAGGGGGTTTCATTCTGAGAGCTACAACAGTTGCTCTCATTTCAACTCTTAAGATTGTGCAACCCAGATACTGCTACCAAGACTTGCGCCGACTCTCAAGACAACTGTTAGCTTGGGATTCACCAGCTAGTTTCCTGTTATTCGCGTCGCTTAGACTTTGTAGCTTGTAGAAATCGCTCTTGCGCTAGGTTTCGACGGTTGGTTTTCGCGTTTTAAGATGGATAGTACGTGCGAGTATTGCGAGAAGGGAAGAGCCACCGTATACTGCCGCGCCGATTCCGCTAGGCTGTGCCTTTCCTGCGATCGCGTCGTGCACTCTGCCAATAACCTGTCGTTGAGACATCAGCGGACTCTCCTGTGCGACGGCTGTAATCTCCAACCGGCAGCTTTTCGCTGCGTTGACGAAAACCTCTCTCTCTGCATCGCTTGCGATAGCGCGATTCACGGCAAGTTATCCTCCTCGCAATTACACAGACGCCATGCGTTCGAAAATTTCACGGGCTGCCCGTCCGCAGCAGATCTTGCTCAGCTCTGGGGCTGCGAGTTGGCGAAACCACCCCCGCCGTTGCTCCAAGTTCATCAGAAGCACTCTCGCCCCGCGTGCTCCACGTCAACAGGCGCCACGACGTCGCTCATCGCGTCGCACACTACCAGGCTGTCGCACGACGACGCGCTGCCGTCGCCAGATTCTGGCCGTGCGACGCGGTTAACCTCTGGTTCCGTGAAGAGCCTGCGACCGTTAGTAACGCCGGCGGCGACTATGAGTCTAACGAGCTCCGTGCAGCACCCGTCGCTCTCCAAGCCCGCTGCGCCGGAACCCAGCACCGCCACGGTCTGTGCCTCCGCTCCGCGGAAGCAGTGGGGGGCGGCGGGGCTAAGCGGAACGGCGGGAGCCCGCGGAGCGGCTGGATGCGGCGCAGCGGCGGCAGCAACGAGCGGCGCGGGGAGGACGGTGCCGGCGAGACGAGCGATGTCGAGCACGTCGGTGGGTTTGCCACCGGTGAGCACCGTTGCGACGTCGACGGCGGTGACGACGGCGGGAGATGCGGTGGGAGATGCGGATATGATGGAAGCAGTGCTGCAGCGGAGCCTGTCGCACGGCTTCGCAGCAGCTGTCGCGCAGGGCGACGCGTCGCAGTCGTTCCGGGACTCTGCGCGCGCAGGGAGCGCGGCGCATCTGGCGGAAAGCCCGAGGGCAGGCAAGGTGAGGTCCGGTGCATGCGTGTCCGCAGTGAGTCAATTGTTTGTAGGGTACGCGTTAGTGCCATTCTTCATCTGACCAACGCGTGTCATATGTTCCTGCATATGAAGTCTGAACTTATATTCCTCTGTCCGTGTTTGCCGCTACTGCGTGTTCAGCAGCCGTCCGGACAGCAGCACCGACCCTCCGCGTGCGCCCCCGGAATGACATCGCCTGCGCCTTCTTCCTACTCTGGGCAAAGAGCGCCGCGCATGTCTCCGCCAGCCTATTCCCCCCGCGCTCTTCCCAGCACCGCCGCCGACCGAGGTCCGTTTTACCCACAGCCGCCGCAGCAGCCGCAACAGCTGAACCAGATGCCGCCTCCGCATTTCCCGGCGGACTTCGGCTTTGCGGGGCAGCAAGGCACGCAGCAGGGCATGCAGGCAGGCGCGCTGCAAAAGGTGGAGATGGAGAGACAAGCGGAGCTCGCGCAAGGCAATCGTTACTTCTTTCCCGGCGGGCATCTCTCTGCTGCGCAACCGAACCTGGGCCTCCTCCAATCCATTCCCGGATGGTCTGTGACTCACCCGAACCTCGGCCCGAGCTTCGGTCCAGGCATGGGGCGAGAGGAGAGGATGCCGAACCAGCGTGTGGACTTGGAGATGGGTCTGATGTTCGGTGTTGGTGAGCAGCAGCAGCAGCAGCAGCTACAGCAGGAGCTACATCAGCGGCTGCAGCAGCAGCGGCTACAGCTGCAAGAGCAGCAGGCGAAGGAGATGCAGGCGCACGCTCATGCCATGAACGCCGCCGCGCATGCCGCACAGGCTGCACAGGCAGCGCATGCCGCGCAGGTGTTTCAGCAGCAGCAGCATCAGCAGCACCAGCAGCAGCAGCAGCAACAGCAACAATGGCAACAGCAGCAGGAGCAGCAGCAGCAATGGCAGCAGCAGCAGCAGCAGCAGCAGCAGGAGCAGCATTGGCTGCAGCAACAGAAGCAGCAACAGCAGCTGCAGCAGCAATGGCAGCAGCAACAACAGCAGCAGCAACGCTCGCAGCAGCAGCAGGACGAACAGCAGCAACAACAGCAACCGCAGCAATGGCAGATGCTACAGCAGCAGCAGCAACAGCAGCAGCAGTGGCTGCGCGGACAAGGGCAGCAGCTGTCCGCTCTGGAGACATCAGAGGGGAAGTGGCCGCTAACGGAGAAGGCAATAGCGAAGCAGCAGGAGGAGCAGCAGGTGCTGCAGGAGGAGCAGCAGGTGGAGGAGCAGGAGCGGCTGACGCTGCTGCAGGAGCAGCAGCAGCAGATGCTGACGCTGCGGCACAGGCAGCAGCAGGAGCTGCTGCTGTCGCAGCAGAAGGTGGAGCACGAGCGGCAGCGCACACGGCAGCAGCAGGAGATGGAGATGGTGTGGCAGCGCCAGTTGCACCTTGACCACCACGAGCACGCCAACTCGCAGCAGCACCAGCAGCACCAGGAGCAGCAGCAGCAGCAGCGGCAGGTGGTGCAGGGAGCTGGTGGGGCGAGCCCTCTGCTTCCACCCGTGCGCCTCAACCCCAAGGACGCCAAGGGGCTCAAGGGTCCCCTCATCGACAACCACTCCTTGCCACCACCTGCAGCAACTGCGGCGCCTACAGCTAGCGTGGTTGCAGCAGGGATCCCCAACGCCGTGGCGGCTGCGCTCGCCGCCGCACCGTCTGCATTCCTCACGTCGCCGCGCCTCGCTGGCAAGCGCTCTCACAGCATCACCTCCGCCGCCTCCCCGCTCGTCTCCCCGCGCCACAAGCTCGCGCGCACCTCCCCCTGGTCCCTGCCCGTGCCTGCGCCCGTGCCTGCGGCTGTGGGTGCGCCAATGGGCTCGGCACAGGCGTCGCCTGTGCGGATTGCGGAGGAGGAGCAGGGCGGCGGCGGGGAGAGGGGGCGGGAGTCGTGGTCGCCCGTGGTAATGAGGGACCTGGGCGCGGAGCAGGGGGAACAAGCGGAACAGGGGGAGGAGGCGGAGCAGGGTGAGCAGGCGGAGCAGGAGAATTGGACAATCGAGGATGGGAATGCGCTTAGGAGGAGGGTGGAGGATAAGGGCGGAGGAGCCGGTGGCACTGGCGACGGCGGTGGGAAGGTGCATGACGCTGCAGTGAGGGATAGCCCTGCGAATAAGAGCAACGCATTCACCTCCCCAGGTCTCGGCCAGAGCACTGTGACTGCGGAGGGCGTGACTGTAGACCGCGTCTCAGCCTTCCCATCCCCTCCCACGCCAAGCACAGCCCATGCCGCCCATCCACCCCCTCTCCCCTCCGCTCCCCAATCCGCACCCCCCTCCGCCACCCCCTTCCCGCCCTTCTGCACGCCCCCCGCGCTCCCCCCAGCTCCCCTGCACGCGCCCGCTTCCCGCGCGCCTGCGAGTCCCAGCGTCTTCCTGCCCATCCCCCCGCCTGGCAGCCCCTTCTCCCCGGCCATGGCTGCCATTGCCGCCACGCTCAGAGCTGCTCGCGTGCCCGCCACGCCCCGTTCCGCGCCTGCCTCTGCTGCGTCCGCCGCGCCCACTCCTCCCGCTGCTCTAGCGGGTGTGGGTGTGGGCATGCCTGCACGCCCCTCTCCGCCCCACAAGGTCCCCTTTTTCGCCTCTTCCGCTGCTGCAGTTGCAGCAGCTGCTGCTGCTGGTAGTGGTGGCAAGACCGCTGTCACTGTGGCTGGCAGCGGTGCTAGTGGCGCATCAGGTGCTGCTGGTGCTGCTGGTTGTGCCAGTGGCAGGGCGTGCGGTGCTGCTCTGTGCCCTGCGGACAGTGCATGTCCTTCTAGCTCCTCCCCTGCCTCCGCCAGGGCTTCTCTCCGTTCGGCTGCTGGCGGCTCGGTGGAAACAGGAGAGGCAGCAGGAACAGTGGAGAACCAGAGGAGTGGCAAGGCAGGGGAGGACAGGGCTCCGGAGAAAAAAGCCGATAAGAAGCTGCTCGTTTCGCGCATCGGCGATGCGATTTTCGCCGAGGCTGAGAGGAACCTGGAGAGGGAGAGGGAAATGGGCGCGGAGGAGGGCTCAGAAGAGGAGGGGCGGGTGGGGAGCGCGGGCATGGACATGGTGGGGATGATGGGCATGGGCATAGATATGGGCATGGAGATGGGGGGCATGGACATGGGCATGGGTATGTCCATGTCGTCATGTGAGGATATCTTCTCGTTTGGCGAGAACAACAGCGAGTTTGGCGGGCAGCTGGGGCGAGACGGGGGCGAGGAGGTGGTGAGGGAGGAGGAGGAGGCGGGGGGAGAGCAGGAAGAGCGGGGGGGTCGGGAGGAGCAGGAGGGGGAGGATGGGATCGCCATGGGTGCAGGTGGCATGGGTGTTACTGGCCTAGGTGCTGATAGCTGTGCTGCCCAGCCTCTGGGGGGCATGGCAGCAGCAGGTGCGCTCATGCAGCCACTGGATCAGGACACTGTTGACTGGCTCGCCGCCCGCCCGCCGTCCTCTATGGCCGGCATGAACTGTCTGCTAGCGAGGGTGGTGGGGGAGGCGGGCGGCAGCGCAGCAGGCATGGATGGCAGTGCATCGCCCACCACGTGCGCTCTGCTGGACCGCAGACTAGGCGGTTCTGCCGTCACCGCACCCAATGCCAATGGCCCGAGTGACCTCACCACCCCTGCCACTCTTTTCGGTGCAGCTGCTGCCGCAGACGCCTCTGGTCGTGTGCCTTGGAGGAACGGAGCGGTGTGGAACAATGCTGCCATCCGAACCTTGTCCACAGCTTCGGCGTCCAGCTCCTTGGCAGGTGCGGCGGGAGGTGCGGGTGGGGTGGCGGGGGAGGCGGGGCAGGAGGAGAGGGAGCTGGCGCTGTTCCAGGCGCTGGAGGGGCAGATGATGCGCGATGGGCGCAGCAGCAGAGGCACTGCCACCCCAGACGCACAAGCAGGGGGGGGAGGCAGCGAGGGTGAGGCCATGGGCATGGCAGGGCTTGTGGCTGCAGAAATGGCGGCAACTGCTGCTGCTGCTGCTGCTGCTGCTGCTGCGGTGGCAGCAACAGCGCCAGTGGAGGTGAAATCAGAGGCATTTTCTGGCTCTGAGAGAGCCGGTCCCAGCAGTGCTGCCACGCTGTTTGGTGGCAGTGCCATGCACCCTGCTGGCCCCATGAGTATGGCCCACGCCCTCCATGCTCTCAACTCCGCCAACCCAGTCAACCCAGTCAATGCAGTCAACGGGAACGCAGTCAACTCAGTTAATGCGGTCAACCCAGTCAACTCGGTCAACGGGTTTCTTGCGGACCCCTGGTTGTGCCGGGCGAGGAGCATGCAGGGGGCGGGCGGCGGGGTGATGGGCGGGGGCCAAATGATGGGCGGCACGGTGCTATCAGCCATGGTGGCGGTGTCAGCAGCAGCAGCCAGGGACGAGGCAGTGATGCGATACATGGAGAAGAAGAAGCACCGCACGTCAGTATCCCTTCCCTACTCTTCCCTTCCCTACTCTTCCCTTCCCTACTCTTCCCTTCCTTCGCAGTCCCTTGCCTTCCCTTGCCTTCGTTTGCCTTCCCCATTCCATTTGCTCCCCTTCCCTTCCTTGCCTGTCCCTGCTCCGTGATATCTCCTCTTGGCCGCTCACTAGTGTTGGGTTTCTGTGTGTACACCGCAGCCGCATCCCTGTTCTTCTGATGCTCAAGGAGCTGTGCATCTCACCCACCTCAGTCTCCATCCACTTGCCCTGGGAAATGCTGCAGGTTTGCCAAGAAGATTCGGTACGAGTCACGCAAGACACGCGCGGACGGGAGGCAACGGGTGAAGGGCAGGTTTGTGAAGACTCTTGACGGCGCAGAAGCAACCTGTACTTGAAACAGACTTGAAGCGAGAGGCTCTTAGCTTGTGTTGTTTTTTTTTTTTTCAGGGGCAACCTCTTGGACCCGATTAGTTTCTAATTCCAGAACGGCATCTATAAGGGCTGGCTACTAGTTGGATATATATGTTATAGTGCTTTGTTAATCATACTGTGTCTTCTGTACAAATTTCTCTGCAAATGCTACGTGTTCTCGTGTATATATAAGTTCAGGGTTCGCTACAATGTGCTTCAACAGTAACGTAAAACGAAGTGAAGTACAACGGATCGAGAACAACAAAGAGCAGCACCACCATCACGATCCATGCAATAGACGGCCTAGATCGCAAATCCACGCCACGCACACACCCGACTGTGAAAAAAGGTTCTTTCGTTCATGATCTCTTATCTGGTCGTCCGCTGCGTGCGCCACCTCGTGAGCTTCTCAGGATTGAGTACTTTTCAAAGCATGTAGGGAGAGCTCCTCTCGGCCGTAGGATGTCCCGAGACGTAGGCGGCGAAGTGTTGGCGAAATAGTTACAGAAGCTGATTCTCGAGGTGTCGCTAGAGCAGCTGCGAGAGCACACACCGGCCGTGCGACAAGGGCTATTCGGAATCCCAACGGCTAAAAACCGCGAACGCGCGGACGAGATCGCGGAAGCGGAGAGAGAAGTGGCGAAACTGATCGCTGCGATCGACGGTGTGGATGCGACGATGGAGACAGAGCCCCGGTTGGATGATGCCAAAAGGGCAGACGACGCCATGGGTGAAGATAACCAGGCGACAGATTCACATGCGACAGATTTAGTCGCATCGCCGTCGCCGGCTCAATCACCGGCGGGATCCTCGCAACCCAGCACGCCCGCGAGTGCGAAAGGAGGTTCCGCGGCCGCAAATACCCCCTTGCCCGGTGCACACACTCCGTCGCGCGCTGCCCTGACCCCCTCACCCTCCTCCACGTGGCTACCGTTTGGGGGGATTCTGGGCGCGTGGATGTCGCCCACCTCCCCGCCCCCCGACGCAGATGCGCCCCCCTCATCCCCGCCCCCCGATGCGGAGGCGCAAAGCAAGGCGGGCGATGCGGATAATTCAGCGCGCGGGTCCGGCGGGGAAGAGCAATCGCCGGTGTCGTCTGGAGCTACCCAGGCGTCGCTAGAGTCGCGGGCTCTGGCGACTGGTCCTGCGACTGAACAAGCGATCGGAGGGACGTTCGGAGGGTCTGATTTGGGGGTTATTGCAGCGGCGGGCACACTTGGCGGATCTGAATTGGAAGATCCCACCGCAGCAGCAGACGTAAAGGAGGAGGGAAGCAGATTGAAGAAGCCAGATAAGAGGAACGAATACAGTTCCTCTGCTGCTGCTGCCGCTTCTCCGCCTCGATCTGCTGCCACCACACGCACTGCTATTGCCGTAACGGCAGAGCAGCTACAGGCGGCAGAGCAGCTACAGGCGGCAGAGCAGCTACAGGCGGACGTGGTGGAGGCGGCTGTAGCGCAGGCGGCTGCCAGCTGGCATGCCACGTGGACGCATAAAGGAGAGCAGAGGGGGGAGCAGAGGGGGGAGGTGCGGATGGGAGGGGAGCGGGAGGAGGAAGGGGTGGATCCGAGAGACGAGGTGGCAGCAGCAGCAGCGGCAGCAGCAGCGGCGTCACTGCAGCAGCAGGTGCTGGCGATCGCCTTGGAGCAAGCCGTAGCGGCTGTTGCGGCTTCAGCTGTAGCAACTGTAGCAGCAGCTTCAGCAGCAGGAGAAGCTTCAGCTGTAGCGTACTCATCAGCAGGAGACGCTTCATCTGTAGCGGCTGTAGCGGAGCGTAGCGACGAGTGCAAGATGAGAGACGATCTGGTGGACAAGGTCGTGGAGGTGGCCGCCCTACAGGCCGCTGCGGCTGTAGCGCCGGCTGTAGCAGCGGCTGCAGCGGCGGCTGTAGCTGAGGAGAGGAACGAGTGGGTGGCGAAGGGCGATTTGGTGCAGGCGGCGCTGCAGGCGGCACTGGAGCAGGTGGAAGGCGGCTGGCGTGGACTGGAGGAGAGGAGTGGGGGGGAGCGGCGAGAGCTGCTGGGTCGACTGGCTGCTGCAGAGCAGGCGGTGAGAGTAGAGGCAGCTGGAAGGGCTGTGGCGGAACAGGCTAGGATGGTGGGAGAGAGGGAGGGTACGGCTGTAACGGCGGCTGTAGCGGCTGCTGTGGCTGAGGAGAGGGAGGAGTGGGCGGCGAAGGGCGATCTGGTGGAGGTGGTGCTGCAGACGGCGCTCCAACAGGCTGCTGCCACGTGGCATGGGCGGGAGAGGGAGTTACAGAGGCAGCAGCTAGAGCAGCAGCAGCAGCCGGAGGTGAGACCAGTTGAAGAGGGGGAGGAGGAGGGGGAACGGAGAGAGGCTGAAGGCAGGATGGGTGGGGAAGTGATGGTGGAAGTGATGGGAGTGGCGATGCAGCAGGCAGAGGAGGAGTGGCAGGCCCGTGTGGCTGCTGCTGAGGCCAACGCTGCTGCTCTAGAGAGGAGAGCAGCCGCAGCTGAGGCGCTGGTGGGGCGAGCAGAAGAGAGGGCGGCTGCTGCAGAGGCGAGGGCGGAAGCAGCAGAGGCGGCGAGGGGCGAGGCGGAGGAGAGGGTGAGAGCAGCGGAGGTGGGGAGGGGAGAGGCGGAGGCGAGGGCGGAAGCAGCGGAGGCAGGGGCAGCGGAGCAGCAGCAGGAGCGCACAGCAGAGGCTGCTGAGCTGTGGGGCGAACTGACTGACCGCGAAGCAGTGTGGGACGCTGAGAGAACTCAGCTTGAGGAGCGGGTGAGAGAGGCAGAGGAGCGGGCGAGGGCAGTAGAGGAGAGGCTGAGAGCAGAGGAAGCGAGGGCGAGAGAGGCGGAGGAGCAGGCACGGGCGTTGGAGGAGGAGGTGGAGCAGTTGCAGAGAAGGGTTGAGGTGGCGGAGAGGGAGAGGGACGCGCGGAAGGAGGAGGAGGGGCGGCAGGGGAAGCTGCTGGAGCAGCTGAGAGCAGCGGAGAGGCAGGTGGCAGATGGTGCTGCAAGGCTGGCAGCTTGCGACGCTCTGATTGGCCGGCTGGAGGGGGAGGTGCGGGAGAAGGAGAGGCGGGTGGTTGAGTTGGAGGGTGAGGTGGCGGCTTTGAATCAGGAGCTGTTTAGTGAACGGTGTATCTCGAGTGGGCGGGAGCAGCGGTGCAGTGCGGTTCAGGGTGAGTTGGACGAGGTGAAGCGCGCTTGTGACAGGCGGATTGCTGAGCTGGAAGCTGACGTGGCAGAGCGAAGGGAGGTGGAGGAGGGATTGAGGGAGAGGGTGAGGGTGCTGGAGAGGAAGGGGGGAAGCAGGGGACGGGGAAAGGGAGAGAGAGAGGGGGAAAGAGGAGGGAAAGCAGGTAGAGGTTCAGAAGAGTCGGTGGGAGGGGAGGGGGAGCGAGCGGAGGAGGAGGAGGAGGAGGAAGGGGAGGAGGTGGAGAGCAGGAGAGAGGAGCAGGGCAGGGCGAGGGTGGGCGTGGGCGTGAGAGGGCTCAGGTGGGGGGGAGGGGCGGGAGCAGGGGCACGGGCAGGGCTGTCAATGCTGCTGGACGAGGAGGAGTCTGGGCGGGAGCAGCAGTCTGGGCGGGAGCAGCAGTCTGGGCAGTTTGCAGGGCGCGCGTTTGTGGTGCGCCCGGGCAGCACTGGCGGCACGGTGAAGCTGGGCGGCGCGGGGAGTGAGGGGCGCGGAGGGGAGGCGCGGGAGGTGCGGGAGGCGAGGGAGGGGGGTAAGGCGCGGCGACCGGCGTCTGTTGGGGCCACACCCATGCCCCGGATAGCTGGCCGCGGGCCAGGAGGAGGAGGCGGTGGGGGTGGAGGTGGTGGTGGTGGGGGTGGGTTCAGAGTCAAGGGAGGGAGGTTTTTTGGTGGGAATGGGGGTGTGTGGCATGGTGGGAGTGACAGTAGCGAGGGGGGGTTCAGTGATGGGAGTGAGGGGAGCGTGGGGCCTGTGTCAGAGGAGGGTGACGTGTCACCCTCGTTAAGATCACCTGAGATACGAGCACGTGTGAGGATTGCGCCGTGGGTGAGAGCAGGGAGTGGGGACGGGGATGAGGAGGAGGAGGGGAGGGAGGTGGGTGGGGAGAGGGAGGAGGGAGAGGCGGAGGAAGAGGATGGGGTGGCGCTGCTGCTGGAGATGGCGCAGGTGGTGGCGCGGGAGAGTGCAGGCGAGGGAGGGGATGGAGGGGGAGAAGCGGAGGGGAGGACCGAAAGGGGAGAGGATGGGGAGCGGGAGAAGGTGGAAGAGAGCAGTGGGAGTGTTGGCGATGGGGCAGGGCAAGGTGCAGCAAGGGCGGTGGCAGGCACGGGGCTGGGGACACTGGAGGACGGTGCTGGGTCTGCTGTGAAGGGCAAGCGGCCACAGGGGCGCGGATTTGCAGGGAACATTGAAGGGCGGGTGAGGAGGGAGGGCGGTTCAAGTGGTGATGGGGAGGGGGAGGGGGAGGGACCGGGAGTGGAGGTGGATGAGGGGACGGGGGTGGCGGTGGATGAGGGGACGGGGGTGGCGGTGGATGAGGGGACGGGGGTGGCGGTGGGCGTGGAAGGGAGCGAGGGGGTTGGGGATGATGAGGCGTGTAGTGCTCAAGCGAGAAAGGGCGGCACGGGAGCGTCTGGGGTGAGGGCAGGTGCAGAGTCAGGGGCAGCAGCAGCAGCAGGAGGCAGGACAGCAGGAGGGGAGAGTGCACTGACAGGAGGGGGGAGTGTGATGACAGGAGGGGGGAGTGTGATGACAGGAAGTTTGATGACGGGGGATAGCAGGTGGTGTGCGGAGAGGCGGGTGGAGGAGTTGGAGGAGGCGATGAGTGCCATGCTGGCGCAGGTGGAGGCGTGGCGCGGCAAGGCGGAGCGGCGGCAGCAGGAGGCCCACGCGCTGAGGGATGCTGTGAGGCGGCTGGAGGCACACGTGGAGGGCACTCAGACTCACCAGCTGCGCGCTCTTGACACCACTGCTGCTCCTCCTGCTGCCGCTGATCCTGCTGCTGCTGCTGCTTCTGCTGAGTCTGTGGCAGTACGGGTGGATGATGCTTTCGCTGCTGCAGAAGGTGGGGGCCCTGCCAGTGCTGCAGAGAGAGGTGAATCTGGGGCGGGTAGTTCTGGGGCAGGTGAATTTGGGATGGGTGAATCCGGGGAAGGGGAGCCGGAGGCAGCGAGTGTGCGGGTGAAGATCCTTAACCTGGAGCTCATGAGCAACAACAAGCGCATTGCTGCATTGGAGGGCCGCCTGCACGCCAGCAAGGCCGCTGTCTCTCAGATCGCCCGCAGCTACCACGAGCTGGACGCTGCCAGAGAGGAGGCTGATGAGTGCAGACGACGGTTGGGTGAGGTGGAGGCGGAGTGGCGGGGGAAGGTGGCGGAAGCGGAGGAGGAGAAGGAGGTGTATCGAGAGCGGATGGTGGAGCTGCAGCAGTACTGGAGAGAGTCGAAGCGGGCGGCGGAGGAGTGGGAGGCTGCTGCGGATGAGGAGAGGGAGAGGGCGGATGAGGAGAGGGAGAAGGTGAGGGGGTTGGAGAGGGAGGTGAGGGAGGAGAGGGAGAAGGTGGCGAGTCTGCTGCGCGCTGTGGTGGAGAAGGAGGAGCGGCTGTGTGCGTTTGCTGCTGAGAGCGAGCAGCAGATGAGGGGGTTGAGAGAGGAGGTGGAGGAGTTGAGAGCGGTGGCGCGGGAGAAGGAGGAGGAGATGGAGGGGGTGAGGCGGGACTGGCAGCAGGTGCTGGTTGGGTGGGAGGAGGAGGAGGAGGAGCGGAAGAGAGAGCATAAGAGGGAGAAAGGACGGCTGGAGGAACAGTTGGAGCGAGCGAGGGAGAGAGAGGGAGAATTACAAGAGGAGGTGGAGCGAGTGGGTGGGGAGTGTGAGAGGGCAGTGGAAGCAGCGCAGCAAACGGAGAGGGGGAGGAGAGAGGCGGAGGGGGAGCTAGAGAGGGCGAGAGAGGAGGTGAGTAAGCTGAATGTGATTGTAACGAGTCTGGAGAAGGAGGTAGAGGCGCAGCAACAGCAATTGGACGCTCTGGAAAAGGAGAAGGCGGAGGGTGGCGGGGGGGGGCGGGAGCAGGGGGAGTGGGAGGGGAAGAAGGGGGGACGAGGGGTGGAGTGGGGGACGGGAGAGTTGGGTGCGGGCGAAGACTGGCAGCAGCTGGTGGAGCGAGCAGCAGCGGAGATGGAGCAAGTTTGTAAGGCGTTAGGGGAGGAGCTGGATGCGGTGGAGAGGGATAGGGCATGGTGGAGGCAAGTGGGGGATGCGCTGTGGTGTGCGGGCAACAGCAGAGCGGGCGAAGGTGTGGCCAAGGATGCAGGTGTGGGCAAGGATGCAGGTGTGGGCAAGGATGCAGGTGTGGGCAAGGATGCAGGTGTGGGCAAGGATGCAGGTGTGGGCAAGGATGCAGGTGTGGGCAAGGATGCAGGTGTGGGCAAGGATGCAGGTGTGGCCAAGGATGCAGGTGTGGGCAAGGATGCAGGTACAGGTGCGGGTGTCACTGCCAGTGCCACTGCCACTGCCAGTGCCACTGCCACTGCCAGTAGCATTACCAGTGGTGGTGCAGAGGCTGGGGGAAACGCAGGGGTGGCAGCGCTGCAGCTGCTGAACTGCTCCCAGGCCTTGAAACGGCTGAGTGACACGGGCATGGTGGGGGATGCAGGTGGTGACAGGGGGCAGGAAGGAGCAGATGTGGCAGAGCGGTTGGAAGGGATAGAGAGGAGTGAAGAGAGGGTGGCGAGGGAGAGGCAGGAGTGGGATGCAGCAGCTGTGGCAGCAGAAAGCCAGCAGCACCGGTTGAGTCAGCTTAGAAAAACGCTGACTCAGCGGCTGCGCTCTGTGTCGACAGCTGTCAGCCAGCTGAGGAAGCGCCGGCGCCAGCTGGCGTGCGAAGCGGCATGCCAGCTGGGCAAGGCTGGTGACGTGGCAGGGGCAGCGGTGGGGAGTGTGGTGGGGGAGGGCGTACACGTGGCAGTGTTAGAGGAAGCGGTGAGAGGCATGGAGGAGGCTTGGGGGGAGGAGCGAGCAGCCAGGCTGGATCAGGCCTCCCAGCTTCGGCAGTACTTGGCTGATCTGGCCGAGGCTCGGAAGGCCCTGGAAGAGGCTCGGGGAGAGGCTCGGCAAGGGGTGAGGTTAGGAGGGGAAGGGGAGGAGGGGAGGGAGGGTGTGGGATCGGTGGGTGGGGAAAAGGGGGGAGTGAGATGCGAGGTTGAGGATAAGGGGAGGGAGGAGATGGTGTTGGGTCTGCAGCTGCAGCTGCTGGTGATGCAGTTGGCACTGGAAGAAGCAGAGGAGAGGCTGGGGAGGAGCGTCGATGGGGGGACAGGTGAGAGGATTGCAGGGAGAGGGGAGGCTGATGGGAGAGGGGAGGCTGATGGGAGGGACGAGAGGGGCGAGGGAGACGGGGGGAGGTTGGGGAAAGATGGGAGGAAGGATGAGCAGGAAAGGAGGGAGGGTGGTGGATGGGAGGAGGGGAAGCGGGAGGGCACGGCGGGGTGGGAGCAAGAAGCGAGGGCGCGGGACTTGGAATCGTTCATTGTGTTGCAGGCGCTGCAGCAGACGGAGGAGGATGGGGCCGCAGCACAGCAGTGCCAGTGCGGGCCCGACGGGGAACCCGAGGGGGCGGTGGCTCTGAATAACGAGGTGGATGCAGTGAGGAGAGCGCTGCGGTGCTGTGCGCTCCAGCTGCTGGTGGCGCGTGAAGCGGTGCTGCAGGGCGAGGGGTGGGGCGAGGCGGTGAGAAGAGAGCTGGTGAGAGAGCGGCGGCGGAGGGAGGAGGAGAGGCGGGAGGCGGAGGAGTGGAGTGAGATGCTGGAGGAGCAAAGGCGCGTGGCTGAGGTGGCAGCAGCGAGGGAGAGGGAGGAGCTGGTGGGGGAGCGGGAGGGGCTGCAGGGGGAGGTCTGTGAGCTGAAGGGAAGAGTTGGCGAGTTGGAGGAGGAGGTGTGTGAGGCGCGGAGGAGAGTGGGGGAGCTGCAGATGAGAGTGGGGGAGGTGGAGGAGGAGGTGGGGGTGAAGGGCGAGGAGGTGGGGCGGTTGCAGGGTGAGTTGGGTGAGCTGCGAGAGCACAAGAGAGTGCTTTACGGGCAGGTGAACGGGTTTCTAGGGCAGGTGGAGGAGATGCACGGGCAGATTGAGGACTTACAAGGGCAGGTGTACGGGCTGCAGGGGCAGGTTGAGGAGTGGCAAGGGCAGGCGCACCAGTTGCTGCAGCAGGTGCAGGCAGGGCAGCAGGCGATTGTGAGGGAGCAGCAGCGTGGGGAGGAAGAGGCAAGAGCAGCGGAGGAGAGAGTGAGAGCTGCGCTGCAGACACTAGAGGAGACCAGAAAGGCCGCTGCCAGTGCTGCTGCAGGTGCCGCTGCTGCCCTGGCGGAGCGGGAGAGGCAGGCAGGTGAGGAGAGGGAGCGGTGGCGGCAGGAGGTGGCGCGCATGGAAGGGGAGGTGGCACGGGTGGGCAGGGAGGTGGAGCGGGTGATGGGCGAGAGGGAGCGGGCGGAGAAGGAGAGGGAAGGGGAGAGGAGGAGGAGGGGGGAATCGGAGGAGAAGCTGAAGGAGATTGAGAGTCGCCTCAAGCTGCAGCTCGCCTGGCCCTCCTCTCCGCCCCTCTTTGGTCCCAGTGCCATTGCCAGTGCTGCTGCCGGTGCCACCACTGCTGCTGCTGCCGCTGCCGCTGCCACTGCCGCCGCTGCTGCTGCGGGTGGTGGTAGTTGTGCTGCCCATCCTTGTGCTGTGCGTGCCTCTGGCTCGGCATTTTTCACGGCACAGGGGGCAGGCGGGCGAGGGCAGGGGGTGGGGGATGTGGGCAGTGTGCAGAAGAACCTGTTGGGGGCGCTGGACCAGGCAGGCACGGGTGCGCTGGTGCTGCATCAGGGGGCACCTGAAGAAACACCTGGAGGGGCAGGTGGAGGGACGCCAACGTATACACCTGGCGGTGGCAAGACACCGGCGTTTTTCACGCCGTCTGCAGTTACTCCTGCTACAGCTTCCACGCCAGCAGGGACCGGCAGGCATGGACAGCTACAGCCGTGGTCGCCTGCCAGTAGTGTGGCGTCTCCAGGCGATGCCACTCCCTTCCGGTCAGTCTGCACTCTTTTTCGTTCCGGTCGGTCTGCACTCTTTTTCGTTCCGGTCAGTCTACACTCTTTTTCGTTCCGGTCAGTCTGCACTCTTTTTCGTTCCGGTCAGTCTGCACTCTTTTTCGTTCCGGTCAGTCTGCCCTCTTTTTCGTTCCGGTCAGTCTGCCCTCTTTTTCGGTCAGTCCGTACTCTTAACTTTTTCATCCAGTCTGCTGCAAGCACCAGAGGAGTGGTAGCGGCAGTTTGAGTTGAACCACCTTTCCCCTCCACTTGTTGCCGCCTCTCTCTCATCCCCTTGCCCCTCCCTCCCCTTCATGCGCCCTCTCGCCTCCCCTTCATGCGCCCTCTCGCCTCCCCTTCATGCAACCTCTCGCCTCCCCTTCATGCGCCCTCTCGCCTCCCCTTCATGCGCCCTCTCGCCTCCCCTTCATGCGCCCTCTCGCCTCCCCTTCATGCGCCCTCTCGCCTCCCCTTCATGCGCCCTCTCGCCTCCCCTTCATGCGCCCTCTCGCCTCCCCTTCATGCGCCCTCTCGCCTCCCCTTCATGCGCCCTCTCGCCTCCCCTTCATGCGCCCTCTCGCCTCCCCTTCATGCGCCCTCTCGCCTCCCCTTCATGCGCCCTCTCGCCTCCCCTTCATGCGCCCTCTCGCCTCCCCTTCATGCGCCCTCTCGCCTCCCCGTGCCCGCCAGCCTGCTGCAAGCAGCGGAGGACAAGTGGCGGCAGCAGCAGGAGGCGGTGCGGGTGGCGGTGGCGAACCTGGGGCGGGCGGAGAGGGAGGTGCAGCTGCTGGGGGACGAGGTGGACGCGCTGAGCGACCTCGTGGAGGAGGCTGCTGTGCGCCTCGCGCACCACGCGCCCATGTTAAGAGGCCTGCCCGGGGTGAGTTGGGGAGGGGGATGCTTGCAGCATCCACAGGCACATGTAATGCACCCCCACGCACCCACACATGCTGGGGGATGAGGTGCACGCGCTGAGTGAGCTGATAGAGGAGGCTGCTGTGAGACTCGCTCACCATTCCCCCATGTTAAGAGGCCTCCCTGGGGTGAGTTGGGGCCTCTTTGGTGAGTGGGGAAGGGGGATGCATGCACCATGCACAAGCACATGCACACTTGCAATGCACCCCCGCACACTCACATATGTGCTGAGCGAGCTGTAGAGGAGGCTGCTGTGCGCTGGGCACACCACGCCCCCATGTTAAGGGCACACATGCACATGAGGGCACACACATGCACATGAGGGCACACACATGCACATGAGGGCACACACATGCACATGAGGGCACACACATGCACATGAGGGCACACATGGCCCATGCAGGCACCTGCACCTGAGACACGGGCACACATGCACAGCATACCACACCAGACGTCCTTGGCCCCCACTCACCTGCCTGCCTGCCCACACGCCTACCCACACGCGTGCCCACTCAGAACCACATGGGCATTGAGCAAGTCAGGTCAGCAAAGCATACAAGTCATGGTTTCCTGCTCCTGCCCGTCTCCCTCGCCCCTCGCCCCTCCTCTCCCTTCCTGATGCTACCGTACCATCATTCTCCCTCGCATGCCGTCATGCGCCTGTATGCCATGGCGCTCAGATGCTGGAGCTCGTGGAAGCCATGAGGGCTGCTGCTCTCAGGCGGGCGTGAAGCATGATGTCATGTGCTCACTGCAGCTGCATGGATTCATTTGTAGGAGGAAGGAGCGTGCCGTCGATTGTTGCAGATGCAAGCACGTGTAATGGATCGAGAGCTAGGAAATTCATTTTGAATGGGAGTCTCACCCACCCAATTCACTGCATTGCATTGCAGTGCGTTTACTGGGAAAACAAGAGCTGTAAGGAAATTAGGGCGCCAGCACTACAATGACAACTTCCTTTCCTTTGTGTAGGGAGGATCTCTCCGCTGCCATGCCAATCAAACAAGTTTGAGCTCCTTTTGACCATGGGCATTGTACCAGGACTTTACGACAGTCAGAATGCACTAAACAAACAGAGCTCTGGAGCTCTAGAGAAAGGGAGAACGCAACTCTGCTTCCACATCATTTACTAGACAAACCTCTCAAAGAATCAGTAGCAAGCAACTCAGTTCACCCCCCTATGTACAGCCACATTGGATCATATCAATGTTCCTAAACGGCAGGATGCATGGAAAGCACGTGATGCAACCTTCCGTTGCCAGGCAAGGCGACTGGAGCATCCATTGCCCAGCCACTTGGCCCCTCGATACTATCACCATACATCAGCTGCATCGATTCTCTAGCTGCTGCTACAGGCACACTCCCTGAAGCCTGCGCCTGTGCTGCTGGGGATCCGACAGTGATGGGAGGTTGTGTGGGGGCAGAGAGAGAAGGCTGAGAGAAGGGGAGTGAGGAGGGGAATGAGGAGGAGGAGGTGTGAGGGAGCAGGGCGGAGAGAGAGGAGATAGTGTGGAGGTCCGGGAGGAGGATTTCTCGCATCACTCCTGGGAGGCGCGGGTCGTGTGGCTGGAAGAGAGCCACGAGACGGCCGCCACACCCAAGAAGCTGCTGCAGCCTTCCGAAATTGGCGGCACTGGCAAAACTGGCCGCGCTGCCAGGAATGGCAGCAGCAGCAGCAGCGGTAGCGGCGGCTGCACCGCTGGCAGAGGCTGGAAGGCATGGGTCAGGGGTAGCAGAGTGGGAGTTGGACGGTGCAGTGGGTGTGCCGGGTAGAGTGGAACAGTATCTCTCATGTGAGCCCCTGCCACACGGGCAGAGACGCTGAGGGGATGGACGCGGAAGAGGCGGACGAAGCGGGGAGCATGGGGGAAGCGGAGGGCCAGCAGGGACCCATCTGCGGCGAAGGTTGTTGAAGACGAGGAGAGAGTGGTTGGGGTCCAGAGAGCAGAGCACGGAGTAGGTGGCTCGGCTGCTGTTTGCGCTCGTTAAGTCGTCTGCTTCTGCTGCTGGCTCTGCAGGCACATCCGACACAGTCACACCTGCTACAGTATTTGCTCCAGTCACATGTGCTGCTACAATCACCTGTGCCACGTGTGTTCTGGTCCAGATGGCATGGATGGCGTCAGACTCCTCCACCACCCTCCACATCTCAGCGCTCTCCCAGTCAGCCTCCACCACACCTGCCTCTGATAGCGTGCCACTGTTCAGCCCATTGCTCCTGCCGCTGCCAGGGCCTGTAACCTGGTTACCAGGGCCATGGGCAGTGTGAGCAGGTGGAGCTGGTGTGGTAGCGTGGCGGTTGAAGCCCCCGGGGTTGATAGCAAAGTAGGGCGACCTGTGCCGTCGCACAAACACCCGCCCTCCCAGCATGAGTGAGTCGAGCCTTGGGAAATGGTAGCAATGCTCCCCGCTTCTGCTGCTGCAGCCGCCTTCAGTCAAACTGCAACCACTCAGCATGCTGCCTGTGCCGCCCCTGCCGTCACCGCTGCTGCTGCTGCTGCTGCTGCTGCTGCTGCTGCTGCTGCTGCTGCTGCTGCTGCTGCTGCTGCTGCTGCTGCTGCTGCTGCTGCTGCTGCTGCTGCTGCTGCTGCTGCTGCTGCTGCTGCTGCTGCTGCTGCTGCTGCTGCTGCTGCTGCTGCTGCTGCTGCGGCCGCTGCTTTTGCTGCTGCTGCCGCTGGTGCTGTAGCTGCTGCTGTTGCTGGCGCTGCTGTGAACAGCAGACCCCGATTCGCTGTTACAGGAACGCTCGTCAGTGTCACATTCATTGGTGCCGAATCCGCCTGCAGGCATCGCAATGCACATCGTGCACACCCCCAGGAACGGGTGTCGTGCGTGGCTGCTGGGGAAAGCACTGTCACGTGGCAAGCTGGGAGAGGCTCCAGGAGGTGGAAAAACAAGAAGTTTCTCAACTACCCCCGTTTCTGAAGGGCGAACGACAACTCTACCACATGAACCAACAGAGCTCCCCCGTGGAAAAAACGGCACAGGACACCCTCCGACAACCATGAGGCAACCCCTCTGCCCCCCATTCCACCGCACCCCACCCATTGCAGTTCCAGCCACCACAGGGTCCAATCTAGGAAGCATGCACGGCTGCTGCATGTCAAACCACGCGCCCATGTGCCAGTCAAACACTGACACGTGGCGCACGTGCTGCGGCCTGCCTGACTGGGAAGGCACGGCGCCGCCCACGATTGCAAACCCGGTTCTGGGTATCACCGTGGCGACGGCGCCGTAGCAGGCTGGGTGGGAGTGGGGGTTGGTGGGGGGAAGCGGGGGCAGGCGGCGCCACCTGGGGAATGCGTTGGGGACGCAGGAGGTGCATGGGTCTGACGACAAACCGTGCCTGTCGGAGGGCTGGCAGGCTTGGCAGGGGTCGCACGGGTCGCATGTTTCACAGAGTGGATCGCATGTTCTGCAGGCTTCACAGACGCAGCAGGCGAACCACTGCAGTCGCTGCCTGCCTGCGCTGTCGCTGCTGCTACCGTTGCTACCACCCACGCACAGCACCAACATTGCACCCTGGCTGTCACAGCGGGCCCCGTTCACACACGCCGTCAAACCCCCTGGGGCGGGCATGTAAGATCCAAAGTGCATCGGCGGTAAGCGTTTCTCGGAACCACTCAAGAGACTCCTGGGAAGAGAACGAATCTCCCCCTCGCCTTCCGCCCACCCCTTCTCCTTCTCCTTCCCATATCCCTTTCCCCCCCCCTTCTCCTTCCCCTTCCCCTCTCCCTTACCCTCCCCCTTCTCCTTTCCTTCCCTCCAGCGGTCGCGCATCCTCTCCCTTCGCCCCGCACCCCCCCACCCCCCTTCCTCTGCGCGGACGCGTCGCAGGCGGCCGAACGACCGGCGGCGAATGGCAGCCGCCCAGGCGCGCGACACGCAGCGAGCGGCGGGCAGGTCCCAGAGGGACAGGCGCGCGAGACAGGCGAGCGCGACGTCATTGGGCAGGCCCGGGAGCAGACTGCAGTCGGCGGATGCGGAGACTGGCAGCATAGTGGGTTTAGGTTGACTCGAATCTGAAGAGCGAGGGAGCAAATGGCAGTCGGCGGATTCAGGGACGGTCATAACAGGGAGCTCACTGGTAGGTGCTGGTTCCTTTCTTGTGCGCATACTGCGCTGTCCTCTTTAAGTCGACTCAAATGTGAGCCAGCGGCGGAGGCAGTCGCGACATCGCACAGAGCTCCCTCATACGTGCTGCCGCAACTCGCTTCTGCTCTCACAAAGAAGATCTCGCCGCGACGGCGACGGGCTGGGCTTTCCGTTCAATACGGGCTGCGCGACGACGAGGTGGGCGACGAGATGGGCGACGAGATGGGCGACGAGATGGGCGACGAGCTGCGCGACGAGGTGGGCAACAGGCTTACTACGGGGCTGAGATCCCTGTTGAGGCGATTGAGATTATCGACGTGATCAAGATTCCAAATGGCTTGGCGGTGGAACTCCTCGTGCTGCTGCTGCTGGAGCCGCGAACTCAAAAGAACCATCTGCGCAGGTGCGGTTGAAACAAGAAGGCAACCGGGACTGTGCAAGAGTCCGTTCTTCGCCAAGCACCAAGGGAAGGGCCTTGCTTGGCTCCCACCCTTCCGGAGAGACACCACGATGCTTGCGTTCTGCTTGTCGGCGTTCTGCTTGTCGGCGGAGCGCTTCCCCCGCCGGGCGCGCCGCCATGGCTCGTCGTGTCGCGAAGGCAGGCATCGGCGAGGTTGGTCGCGGCCCAGATCTGTGATTACGTGGCGGGGCCGCAAAAAAACGTCAGCATCATGGCAGCCTGGCGTGGCGGGTTTGGGTTTGAGCATCCTAAAATAAGACGCCCTCAGATTGATTGCGTGGCGGGTCCGCAAAGTGGGTCACCATCATGGGCAAAGGCATCACGTCACGGCAGCCCTGTCTTTGTTGCGTTCGCGAGGCAGTTCCGTCTCGCTTCGTTGTTGAGACTTGTTACGAGTGCAATCGAGTGATCGAGCGAGAATTGCACTATCGAAGCAAGAGTACAATGAGCTAAGGCATGAGCAAAGAATATATAGCGAAACTACAGTGGTAAGTTGGTAACGGTAATGAGCTGTGGGTTGTTGGGCTGAAACGCCCTAGGATCTTTGTAGAGTTAAAGTCTGAGTAGATGTTGTAATAGCGGAAGCGTTGAATAAAGCTCTTGAACCACCTTGCGCTAGTATGTGAGGGCAAAGTAAGTTGATAAAAACAAAGAGATACAAGAATATAAATAGATGAGTACAGAGAATATGAAGAGACATTATAACTAATTTTACTGTTGCGGTTCGATACAGTGCGACTCGGGCAACTGCTCGATGTCGAGTCAGTTGTTTGTCCTTGCTGTCGCGCTGCGTCAGGTCAAAGGTCGCTGCCCTTTGACTTTCCCGTAACCTCCGACGGTTACGTTAACCTCGTTGGTTGACTCGCGCTGCTTCAACTTGAGCTGCTTCGTTTTGTGTCTTGAGTACTGACACGACAGAGGCGCTTAACTTATTTGTTCCCAACACTCCCCTTCGCTTCTGGAGTGTCGCTGATGGTGACGTGGCTTTGTCCAGTCAGCAGCATGCAGTACTCGAACTTCTGCTTTCCAAGTTTCTTGGTCAAGTAGTCGGCTGCCATCTCGGACGTGGGACAGTAGGATAGATCGAGTTTCCCTTTCTCGATTTCGTCTTTCACGAAGAAGTATCGCAGGGCGATATGCTTCGTTCTGTTCGCGAATCCGCTCTTGTTGGCGATGCGAATTGCGGATTGGTTGTCGCAGAACAAGGTGAAGTTGGGTAACTCGGCTAACTTTGCTTCTTCCAGCAGCTCGCGAAGGTAGAGTCCTTCCTTGGTGGCTGAGCAAAGGGCGATATATTCTGCTTCAGCTGAGGAGAGCGCAATTAGTTCCTACTTGCTCGATTGCCAGGAAATAGGTCCGATAGGTTCTAGGCGATAGATGTAGCCAGTGCGAGAGCGCCTGTTATCTGAGTCGCCGGCGTGATCGGCATCGACATAGCCGATTAGTTTCGTCGGCGTAGTTGTGTCTTTGTAGTACGTCAGGCCGATCGTTGCGGTGCTCACGAAGTAGTGAAGAGCACGGTCGAGTTCTGCTAGGTGTTCTGCTTCGGGCCTCTTGAGATAGGTAGCGAGTTGGCTAGCGGAGTAGGACAGGTCTGGGCGGCAGGTGATGGCTGCGAAGAGCAGACAGCCCAGTTTTCGCTGGTAGTCGCGTATTCCGGCGGTCTTAAGTAGGACGGAGCTTCCTTTGCCGTTTCCTGCCGTGTAGCGGTATGGCGTGTGGATAGTAGCAGGTGTGAGTGCGAACCGTTTGGCGATGGTGTCGGCGTACTTCTCGGCGCTGAGATAGATCGCATTTTCTTCTTCGCGAATGTTGAGCCCGAGATACTGAGTGACGGTAGTGGAGACCGTGAGTGTGAGGTCCTTTTTCAGCTCCCCTTCGAACCAGGTAGCGATGTCGTCGGTAGAGCCGATGTAGAGTAGATCGTCGACGTAGACAATGAGCAGGATGTAGTTGGCGCCTTTGGTGAGTCGATACATGCCTTGATCGTGAGGTAGTTGACGGAATCCGATGCAGATGAGGCGGGTGTGTAGGTGCTGTTGCCACAGTCGTGGGGCCTGTTTGATACCGTAAAGCGATTTTAGTAGTTGACAGACCTGATTGGGTTCCCCGTGAGTACCGTGAGGGAGCTCGACGAAGATTTCGGCGTCGACGGGTGCGTAGACGAAAGCGTTAGCGACATCGATTTGTCGCAGTTTCTTCTTCTTCATGGCGGCGATCGCAAGGAAGATTCGGAGAGAGGTGTGTCGGCTAACCGGGGCGAATGTCTCGGTGAAGTCCCGGCCTTGTTCATGATCAAATCCTCGCACGACCCATCGTGCCTTGAACTTCTCGATTGTGCCATCTGCTTTCGTTTTGATGCGGAAGACCCACTTCCCGGTAAGAATGGTCTTGTTTCTTGCTATGCTTGCTGGAACGAATTTCCAGGTGTTGCGTTCCTCCAACGCTTTTAACTCTCTGTCCATGGCTTCACGCCATTTCTCCTTGTGTTCCCCCCCTAGAGCCTGTTGAACTGTCGCAGGCTCTTTAGGAAGAGTGGAGCCATGGACTGCGGTGACGAGGCCGAGAATCTGCAGTCCGGTCTGTGAGTAGCGGGGGAGTGTTGTGTCCTCGGGATAAGCTGCTTCATCTCCCGCTTCTGGGTCGGGTATGAAATTCGGTCCTACTCTTTCTGCTTCGTTGGTGTTGGCTGTTGCAGGTGTTATGTAACCATTGTCGGCGAAGTGATAGAAGACTTCGGCGTTGGCACTTTCGCGAGGATTTTCTTCGTCCATGGGGACGTTGACGGAGCAGAACAGGAGAGGTCCGGCTTCTTCAGATGCGTTGTCGACGTTCTGCTCGTCCCAGTCTGCTTCGTCTGCTGCTGAGGCGAATGCTCGGTCACCACGAAAGCCACCTGTGGGGTCCTGATTCTCGTGCAAGTTGGCGAGGTACGTCTAAAGGGTGAGGCGTTCGTAGAAGATCACATCACGTGCTGCTACTGTTTCCTTTGAGTGGACGTCAAAGATTTTCCACGCGTTGTAATTCTTTTTTATGCCGAGGTGTAGTCCCCACTGTGCGCGTTGTGAAAATCTTCCCGCTCGTGCCTCAGGGGGTCGGTACTGTACCATGCACCCAAAAACTCGTAACATTTTTGTGCTGCCCTGCTTCCCTGTCCACAGCAGATGCGGTGATGCGTTGTTCGGGAGTGAGGACGACGACATCAAGTTGTGCAGCATGACAGCGTGGTCCATTGCTGCAGGCCACTGGTGGTTGGGTAGCCGCATGCCACGTAACAGTTTGCGCATGCTGTTCTGTAGAGTTCTGTTCATTCGTTCTGCGACACCTTGCTGCTGATGGGCGTAGGGAAGGGAGAGGAGTTGCTTGATTCCTCTTTCCGCCAGGTACTGCTTGAAGCGCTGAGAGGTGTATTCTCCTCCTCCGTCTGACTGGAAGCTTTTCAGCTGTGCTCCCGACTCTCGTTTTGCTACTGGTAGCCAGGCGGCGAACGCTGCGAGTGCCATGTCGCGGCTTGGTAGGTTTAGATGCCAGACATATCGAGTGGCGGCGTCGATGAAGGTAATCGTATAGTTGTAGGTGACTTGTCCTGGTTCGCGATTGTAGAGGGTGTCGCTGTACACCTTCTCGAGTGGTGCGTACGCCGGTGCGCTCGGGTTGTGATGAGGAGCGAACGGTCGATGTGGTAAGTCAGCTTCGGGGCAGGTAAGACAAGTCCCTCGTGCCTTTTGAAGTTCTCTGCCGTCGGGTAGTAGTAGGGAGTCTTTGTCGAGAACTCCTGCTCTTATCGTGTTGTTTAAGACTGTGTTGCTTGGATGTCCCAATCGTGCGTGCCAGGTTTCTTCGGAGGCGCGATGTCCGGGTGATCGTCGATACGTGTCGGAGTTGGAGTAGAAGCTGGCGACGAAGTTTGCGCTTCTGTGGGCTTCTCGTGGAGTTGGTTTCAACTGCTGTGCGGGTGTTGGTGGTTCTTCGTCGACGAGGACTGGTGTCGTTGTTCCTGCTGCTGCTGCCGATCTTGTCTCTGCTGCTGCCGATGATGTCTCTGCTGCTGTCGTTGTTGTTTCTGCTGCTGCCGATGATGTCTCTGCTGCTGCCGACGATGTCTCTGCTGCTGTCGATGTTGTCTCTGCTGCTGTCGAGTATTGTATTGTTGCTAATGCGCGTGTTCGTTCTGCTTCAGGGATAGTATGGGAGTACCAGAAGCCTTCCGGGCTGAAGTCTGGATCAAGATCTGGAGGGTGCGTCCAGTCCGTGAAGTTAACAATAGCGTCGCTGTCTGCGGTGCCCAGGTCCGGGACGAAATCCAGGACGAAGACGTTGTTCTTCAGAACTGCCTTCCCGATGTAAAGGCCGCCTTTCCCGTGATATAATTTAAATTCCTGGGTGGTGCTGTCGGCTTCCAGGTGGATGCCCTTCGCCATCAACTGGCTGACGCTCAGTAAGT